AACGTCTATACTGCTTTTTATAGTGGTTGCACCAATTTATATTCCCACCAACAGTGCATAGGGGTTCCCTTTTTTTACATCCTTGGCAACACTTATATCTTGTCTTTTTGGTGACAGCTATTCTAGCAGATATGAGGTGATATACATTGTGTTTTTGACTTGCATTTCCCTGATGATTATTGACGTTGTGCACCTTTTCATGTATTTGTTGGCCATTTGTACGTCTTTGGAAAAAAGTTTATTCGTTTCCTCTATTTTTTAATCAGACTTTTTTTTTTTTTGCTATTTGGTTGTGTGAGTTCTTTATATATTTCAGATATTAACCCCTTATCAGATATATGATTTGCAAATATTTTCTCCCGTTCTGTAGGTTGTCTTTTTGTTTTGTTTCCTTTTCTGAGCAAAAATGTTTTTAGTTTGAAGTAGTCCTACTTGTTTATTTTTGCTTTTGTTGTCTTGGCTTTTTTTGCCATATCCAAAAAAATCATTATCAAGACTTATGTCAAGGAACTTACCACCTATGTTTTCTTCTAGGAGTTTTATGGTTTCATAATTTGTGATGTGTAAGATAGGTTTCTAGTTTCATTCTTTTATATTTGGCTGTCCAGTTTTCTCAGCACCATTTATTGTAGAGATGATCCTTTCCCTCTTGTATATTCTTGACTCCTTTGTTGTAAATTAACTGACCCATATAAGCGTAGGTTTATTTCTGGGTTCTCAATCCTATTCCATTGACCTGTGTGTCTATTTTTATGCCAGTATTAGACTATTTTGATTACTATAGCTTTGTAATATGGTTTGAAGTTGAGAAGTGTGATTCTTCTAGCTTTGTTGTTCTTTCTCAAAATTGCCTTGGCTTTTTGGATCTTTTGTGGTTCCATATAAACTTTAGGATTTTTTTTTTCTGTTTCTTTGAAAAATGCTATTAGGGTTTTGATGGGGATTGCATTGAATCTGTAGGTTGCTTTGTAGAGACATTTTAACATTATCAGTTCTTCTGTCTGTGAGCATGGTATATCTATTGTGTCTTCTTTATCAGTGTCTTATAATTTTCACTGTATAGATCTTTCACCTCCTTGGTTAAATTTATTCTTTTTTTTAAATTTAATTTTATTATGTTATGTTAATCACCATACATTACATCATTAGTTTTTGATGTAGTGTTCCATGATTCATTGTTTGCGTATAACACCCAGTGCTCCATTCAATACGTGCCCTCTTTAATACCCATCACCAGGCTAACCCATCCCCCCAGCCCCCTCCCCTAGAACCCTCAGTTTGTTTCTCAGAGTCCATAGTCTCTCATGGTTCATCTCCCCCTCCGATTCCCCCACCTTCATTTTTCCCTTTGTTCTTCTTTTTTTTTTTTAACATGTATTATTTGTTTCAGAGGTACAGGTCTGTGATTCAACAGTCTTACACAAGTCACAGCACTCACCATAGCCCATACCCTCCCCAGTGTCTATCACCCAGCCACCCCATCCCTCCCACCCCCCACCACTCCAGCAACCCTGTTTCCAGAGATTAAGAATTCCTCATATCAGTGAGATCATATGATATATGTCTTTGCTTGATTGACTTATTTCGCTTAGCATAATGCCCTCTAGTTCCATCCACGTTGTGGTTAAATTTATTCTTAAGTATTTTATTCTTTTGATACAACTGTGAGATTGTTTTCTTAATTTCTCTGATAGTTCATTGTTAGTGTATAGAAACACAACTGATTTTTGTATATTTTGTATACGGCAGCTTTATTGAATTTGTTGGCAAAGTAATACTTCATCATTAAATTGTTTTGAGTAATTTCATTCACTTTCTGGTTTCTTTGTTTTTTGGTTTAAGCATATGGCATTAAAAACAAAACATCTGTTTGGTAGAGTCTTTGCTCTTATCTTTTTGATCTGGAAAGAGCACATATGTTCTCAGTAGTCAGTAGTTTCAATTATCAACTGGGGAAGGAGGAATTGAACTTTTTTTTTTTATTGTATTGACAAGGGGATGCAGCATTGGTTACTTTCATTGAGGCTGTCTGGAAGTTGAGGAGAAAGACCTATTTTTTAGGCCATGCAGGCAAGTGTTTGGGTATTACGAAATTCCCAAAGGTGAGCAGTAAACTACCCAGGCATCAAGAAATCATTTAGTTTATTTTAATTGAGTAGAAAGTCCGTGAAATTGATTCAGCCATAAAAAAGAATGAAGTGTTGCCATTTGCAACAGCATGGATAGATCTAGAGCATGCAGTGCTAAGTGAAGTCAGTCAGAGAAAGACAAATACCATATGATTTCACTCATGTGGAATTTAAGAAACAAATGAACAAAGAAAAAGAACAAAACAGACTGTTAAATACAAAGAACAAACTGGTGGTTACCAGAGGGGAGGAGGGTAGGTGGTTGGGTGAAATAGATGAAGGGGATTAAGAGTACACTTATCATGATGAGCCCTGAGTAATGTATAGAATTGTTGAATCACTATATTGTACACCTGAAATTAATATAACACTGTATGTAAATTGTTCTGGAATTTAAAAAATTAATTTAAAAAAGTCCCTGAAATTGGTAATATTTTTCAGGAGTTATGGAGACATATTTTGGAATGTTAGGATAGATTGCTTGAACTTGATATGATGGCTCCCAATTTGTTTCATATGTAGGTAAAATAACTTTCGAGCTTCACTAAAGTTTTTGAGATGATAATTTACTACTTGAGAAAGTTATAAAGGTAAAAATAATCTCTGGTGACAAGAAACTCAGTTCTTCCTAGGTCAGCCCATTTCCTGGTTGGATTGTTCTGACTGGGGGCATTATTATAATCTACACATAATAATGTATAGATCTTTCTTGCTTCCTGTGAATTGAAGCGAGGGAGCTTGAGATCACGTGTTGTGCCACCTCATAGGGCATCACCTCCGATGAGTTACTTTGTGCTTCAGGTTTCTCATTTCTACAATGGAGGACAATACTTCATAGAGTTGTTCGGCTGAGTGAGCAGAGTAGTTAGTACTTAGAATAATAAAACAATAAGTGTCGTCACTTCTATCATTGTTATTAATGTATTTGTTTTGATGATTTGAAACTTGATTCCAAGAATATTTAGGAGATATTGTCACCTCTTTGATTTCTAGCATATAGGCTGTGTGTCATCACGTGAAATTGAGGACGTAGCTTTGGTGGAGGAAGGGGAAGAGAATGCTGAGTTTACTTCTGAACATGCTGAATTTGAGGTGTTTGTAGAATAATACTAGGACTGAGATACCTGAATTTGAGGGCTGTGTGTCATCAAGTGAAATTGAGGATGTAGGTTTGGTGGAGGAAGGGGAAGAGAATGCTGAGTTTACTTCTGAACATGCTGAATTTGAGGTGTTTGTGGAATAATACTAGGACTGAGATACCTGAATTTGAAGAAGAGGGCAGAGTCCTTGGCACATGGGTGATAATTAAAACTATGAGAGATGGGCTAGATCACTTAAGGATCTATTTTGGTTATATATTAGAAACCTGGGGACCCTAAACTTTAAAGAACAGGTGGAAGCCATAAAGCATACCATCTGAGTTAGTAGAAGAACCAGGAGTGAGAAGTGCCACCACAAAGGGAGAGTAATCAGTGTTGTCTATTGCAGTAATCTGAAAACTGGAAAGTATACATGGCTTGATAATTAATGGGTCTTTTGTGACCCTTTGGTTTCGGTAGAGGAGTAGAGGTGGAAGCCAGAGAGCAGTAATGTTAGGAGGGTGAAAAGGGAGGAACAGACGATAAATGTACACTACTGTTTTGAGAAATGTTAGTGAGACAAATGTTGAAAACTAAAGGAAGATGCAGTGTAAATGGAAGATTTGGGGTCAGGACAGGATATTGATGGGCTAAGGAAAAAGAAGCTATTAGGAAAGAAAATGATTGAGTATAAGAAGAGTGTAGAAGAGGTGAGTTCAAGGCCACAAGTTGATAATATTGGCCTTGAACAGGAGGAGGGTGAAAACATCTGAGACTGGAGCAAAGAGAGACATGGATATAACCAAGCCTGAAGATAGAGGAAATCATTCCTATGGACTTCGTTTTCTCCCAAGAAATGGAAGGGGAATTTGCTGTAAGGAGTCATGGGTTGACTAGGTGTTGTGAGGAGAATGATCAATGTTTAGAATAGTAATTGAGGGAAATAGGAGGGGAGGCTGACAAATTTGTTTTCCAATGGAGGGATTTTTCATTTGGATATTACTAGTAGTGTGGATACTATGAATGTGTTATATGAAAGGGGAAGGACTATTGTTTTATTTAATGCAACATATATTTAACATGTATTATGTACAAAATACTGTGCTATGTACTTCTGGGAGAGTCAGATGAATACTGACTGCCTTACTCAAGGTGGGGGTGGATATGACCTCATAGCTCATGTCGTATGATTTGTTAAAACCACAAATGTTTACAATAGCCTAAAAATAATAAATGATACATGAGCTTTGTAAACATACTTATAAGGGTTTGAAAGAAGTAGAGATCCCATTAAATGGGAAATAGGAAGGCTTTATGGAAAAGGCAAATAAATACATAAAGGCTATATATATATTTTCTAATGAAATAGTAATTAAACCAGTTATAAGTTTTTAATTACAGCAATCACTTATTCTTCTATAATACAATGACTGGCATTTACCAGAAATGAAGAAATAAAGAGATTAACATAGTGAAGTCTGCTCTATCCAAAAGATGTTCCACATTTGGTTATTTTTTTGTGGTAATATAGAATTCAGTAATCTTTTCAACAAATATTTAATGAACATCTCCTGTTGGGTACTGAGGATACAGAGAAGACCAAGATGCAGTTTCTTTCCTCAAGGAGTGCATACTCTAGTAGAAGAAACAAGTAAAAAAACTTAAGTTCTATACAATAAATGATATAAAAGTGGTATATATGAGTAGAGAAATTTGGGGTTCTAGTGGAAGGAAGAATGAATAAATGATTATGTTGCTATGACAGCAAGTTTTTTCCTTTTCTTTTCTTTAGTTGGAGAGCATCAATTGACAGGCCATAAAGTGGCAGTTAAAATCTTAAATAGACAGAAGATTCGCAGTTTAGATGTTGTTGGAAAAATAAAACGAGAAATTCAAAATCTGAAACTCTTTCGTCATCCTCATATTATCAAACTGTAAGTATTTTTGTACCTGATAATGCAAAAGAGAAACTGTCTTGAAATATTTCCTATGAATTTACAAATAATTATCTTTAACTTTTTATGAAAGTATAAATCTTTAATACTTATATTCAGCAAGTGTTAATTCATTTAACCTCCATCAATCCTTTCTTGCATACTTTTAGTTTATAATTAAAAGTCAGTTTTTCAAAATTGGTACTGTTTTCAACTGATGAATGCAGCCTTGGAAGTTGACTCTTCTCTAGTATTCACTTTAAAGGGCCTTTAGGACTTTGATGTTCCTAGATTCATTTTATAATTTTTTTCTAGTCTCGTTTCATTAACATTACAGTGATTTCTTTTTGGAAAAGGTAAAATGTAACTGTTTAATATTATCCACCATTGTATATTACTTGCAAAACTGCAATAATTACTGTGATTACTGATAGCAGAGCTCTTAGGAAGGCAGGTGGATTTTTTTTTTTTTTTGATAGGACAAGTTACAAACTTAAAAGATAATATGAAGAGATTGATAAAGCTGATTAATTATATTGAAAGAAATAATTTAAAATTAGAGCTAGAAAAAGTAGATATTGAGTATGTAACAGTATCCTTTGAAATCATTTAAATCATTAATATTTACTGAGAAAATGTAATATACTAACCACTGAAAATTGTCTTTATGTCTTAAAGCTTGGATAGAGTTTTATAAAATAAATATTAATCTTGTTGAGTACCTGCTAGTGGCTAGGAACTGTGTTGAGCATTTTACATATATAATTTCACTTTAACCTCATGATAAGCCTATAGGGTAGGTATTGTTTTCAATTAATAAAGAAATTCCATATCTAAAGAGTATCAGCAACGTGTCCAAGGTCAAAGAGCCAGTAAGTTGTGGAGCTGGTAGTTGAGTTCATATCTGACTCCAAATGCCATGCTATTAATGCTTTACTCCAGTACTCCAGTCTTTCTCAAAACAAAGTTATATGAACTCCTTTTAAGGAAAAAAAAATTTGTGGATCCCTGGTTTTGACTTAATTATTTTTATTATATTGTTACTTAAGTATACAGAAACAAAGAATTCGGTGTAATAAACTCTATATGCTTATAGCTTTGACACAATTATGAAACCAAGATAAATTCACAATTTAAATATAAGACAAGTCAAAGAAATTCAAAGTAATACCTATAGTATAATGTGATGAATAATGGTGTTTTTCAAAAACCAAATCGTTAGTTTAATAGAAGGACATCCATATTTATATTTTGATTCAAATAATATTGAAGAGAAAGCCTGTTCATATGAGTATATTGTAAAAAAGAAATCATTATTAATGTCTTTGAGGCTTTGTTTGCTAGTTCATTGTAATCAGATATTATCTTTAGCCTAAACTTTGTTAGTGAGCTGTCTTTGGATGTCAGTGTTAACAAGGAACAACTTGATAATCTGCAGAGGTACATTATTTGCCTTACGACAAGGCTAGCATAGTAGCTGTGATAGGCTGATTAATGCCCCCCCCAAGACATCCTAATCCCCAGAATCTTTGAATGTGTTATATTACATGGCAAAGGGGAATTAAAGTTATAGATGGATTTAAAGTTTCTAATCAGCTGATCTTATAATAGGGAAATTTTCCTTGATTTTCTGGATGTGCCAGTAGTAATCACAGTGGTCCTTAAAAGTGAAAGAGGGAGTCAGAAGACTCAGAGAAAGTGATTTGAGAGTGAAGCGAGGGCAGAGTGATAAAATGTGAGAAGGACTCAACTGGCTGTTGCTGACTTTGAAGATGGAGAAAGAGGGCCATGAGCCAAGAAATGCTGGCACTCTAAAAGTTGGAAAATACAAATATTTTCCTCTAGAGCCTTGCTGCCAACCTTGATTTTAGCCCAGTGAGACCTGTCAGACTTCTATAAAACTACAAGGTAATACATTTTGTTGTTTTAAGCCACCAAATTTGAACTATGGTAGCAGTAGGAAACTAATACAGGAGCATTCCTGAAATCCTTAAATGAGTGGCTTATCCAGTTATTATTGCTGGGATTGGGAACATGCATTTAGTCTTTACTCATACTAGCTACATTTATTGTTAGTGAACTGTTGCAAATTGGTATGTTCAGTGCATCTTACCAACAATATGAATATGTGCCTAACTGTTCAGGAAGGCTTTTTCTGGAGGGCCTTGGTCTGCTGTTGGGTAGCAGAGATAACTCAGGTCTCACACTGTTACCATGAGATGTGCATTCTAACAGTGAGCGTCAGTGTCCTTTCATCTTCACGTGAAGTTCACTTGTTCATCGATATAAACAAGAAATGAGGTCTCTAAAATAACATGACAGTGCATGATTGATTACAAGCTTATCGTCTAGGACCTACATTCTAGATGATTCAGAATATGTATATGCAGGTTTTTTAAGATTAGCATAAGAAATAAAATGCCACCTACTAGCTTGGTAACTCACCTCTCATATTCTTTGTTTCCTTAATTTTAAAGTGGGGATGTGATTGCACTGGTATAATGCCTGGTATTTGATGAGCATTGGCCTAAAGTAGGAATAGGTAACCTACAAGCTGATATTTCAGTCCACTTTCATGATTCTTAACTGTTTTTCCCCTACTTGAAACAGTTCATAAATAACTTTGACTCCATGCTGATAATGACTTTATTCTAGTTACTGAGTGGCTTCTAAGCTAAATCTTTTTGTTCTTCCTTACTGAGCGGCCACTTCCTATAAGAGGAGAAAGCTGGGAAGCCAGACTAAAAGTGTCACATGCCAGAATGAGAGTGAAGGGGGAGATCTCTGTTTTTGCCTTGTTCCTTGACCTCATCCCTTTTAGAATGCCAGCCTGAAAGACCCCAGAGAAATTTTGTCCACTTAGGGTATGAGTCCTAGTTCCTGTTGTGTTCCTGCGAACACAAATCAGATTTTGTCAGTAAGCAGTTGCAACTGTCAGGATTTAAAAGCTTATTTTTGATGTCAGATCTACCAGTGTTTTCTTGCCTTCATTTCTATAATTATAATTTCAAATTTTGGTTTGGCTAATTATCTTATTCTGGTTTAGAATTATTTAAGTATTTGCTATTTTGTTTTGTGAGGGAGATGTAGAACATTCTCAGGGTTGATCAGAAAGTAATTAGCAGAGGTGAATATAATGTCTAAAGCTTCTGGCTTCCAGCCTTGGGCTTAATCCATTCAGCCAGATTGCCTCTTCAGTTGTGGACTGAGTTAAAAAAAAGAAAAAGTACTCATGTATCCTTGCTATAGAACAAGCTTATTGACATAGCCTCTAACAGTGTTAGTGATTTAAACAGGGAGAGAGACCTGATCCTTTTAGTGGTTTTGTTTGTTTTGTGCAGTCTTGGACTAACTGCCAAGAATAGTTCCCTTGTTACAGAATGGGCCTCTAGTTTCTCTAGTAGTAAAGCTTGAAAACCAAAAACCAAGAATGTAGGATATTTATTGCATGATTTCTCTATTAACTCAAATTGTAAAATCCCACTGAAAATTGAAAAGAGTAAACAGGATTCAAAGGAAACTCCAAACTTTCCCATGAACTAGAATTTGTTGATTACATTTTTGTCTTTGTTCCCCCACCACTCTGTAGTTCTTAGGGAACCTCACTTTAATGAATCAAAAGATCAGTACTTTATTTGGTAGAGCTGGTTTTGTCTGTTTACTTTTTAAAGTTTTATCTTACTCAACCTATAGACAGCTCTTTAACATTATTCACCACCACCTTGAAATGTTGTATTCTCTGAGTTTCTATAACATCACAGTCTTCTGATTTTCTTTTTTGATTCTTTCGTCTTCTTAAGACTTTCTTTTACGGACCTCTTCATCTTCATGGCCATTAAATATTGATGCATGTCTGCATTGTGAGCTAGTGTAGTGTTAGTGAACCACCTTTGGGTGACCCCATCTATTACAATGGTTGTCATTTGTCATCTTTGTGCTAAAGATTTCCAAAACTATATTTCTGGGCCAGATATTTCTCCTGAATCCTGAACACACTTATTGAACTCTTTATTGGATGTTTCCATTCTGAAGTCATTGAATCATCTGAAACTAAGTTGAACTTTTCTTTCTTTCCCAAACTTCTTTCTTTTTTTTTCTGTTTTTTGTTTTGTTTTGAGCAAAAATACCATTCATGCAATTTTCTAAGCCTAAAACTTAGGGATCATCTTTATTTCTGTTTCCCTCATCTTTATATATAATCAATCATTGAGTTCTGCAGCTCTTACCCCTAAATATCTTCTTAGTCTCTTTCTTTCTGCTTTTATTGTCACCATCCTCTTTTGCTTGTTGTTGTTCAGCTATTGTCTCTACTTAGAAAGCTTTTTCTACACCTCCCTTCCCCTAGGTTTCCAATTCCAATTTACCATTTAGATTTTAGCCTTTACAGGTGATTATCTCTAGAAAACCTGTTTACTCTGTAAGTCTGTGTTAGGCATCATCCTCTCTGTACCACAGCAGTCAGCCTTTCCAAAGCCCTTGACATTACTTTGAACTTGCTCATTTGTTTGTATTAGTAATCTTCCACAAGACCAAGTTCTTTAGAAGCAGGAATTATGCTTGTTTTTTCTTTTATTTAACACATTTTTACTGAGTACCTGCTATCTAATAGGAACTGTTGTAGGCATTGGGGATATGATAGTGAAAGACAAGGTTTCTGCCCTTATGGAGCTTCTGTTCTAGAGCTATCTAGCAGTTCTAGATAGTGAGTAAGCAAAGTAACAGGATTACTTTAGGCAGTGATAAGTGCTTTGAGGAGAATGAGTGCTGTTCTAGGTTGTGACTAACAAGGAGTAAGTGTTAATTCAGATTAAGTTGTGGGAAGGCCTCACAGAGGAGGTAAAGTTTGAGCTAAGACCTGGAGGATTATTAATATCTAGCCAACTAGTGAGATGATATGACTATAGTATAGAATGGGTATGGGGGCAGAAGTGGATGCAGACCAGTTAAGAAGCTATTGTTGTGTAGTCCAGCTAAGAGATTATGATTATGGTGGCTTTAAT